CTCTCGGGCCGGCAGCTGCAGCAGGCGAACACTTGGCTCCAGGAGGACCCGGCGGCACGTTGCAGCCCTGCCGCGCGCCACCTTCGGGGCCCAGCAGTTTATTTTGCTCCTCGCGGTTACACATTGCGGCGTGGGAAAGGGGGGTGTCCTCCCCCTCCTGGGCACGTTACAGAACTGGGGAGTGTAAAAACAAAAACGAAACAGGAAAAAAAACCACCCACAGAAACAGGAACAAAACACGACTGTACAGAGAGGCGCAGCTCCCAGCGCCCCAGGGCTCAGCCGCCGCAATAAAACCTTAGGGGACTAATCACACATCGCTTCGTGGAGCTCAAAGTGGCACTAAAGTTATGAACAGCCTTAAATAAGGAAAGAAAAAAACCTGCTATCCTAACAGCCAGCACCCACGGGGGCTGCCCAGTCCCAGCAGGCCCTGACGGCCGGGTGCTCGCTCCCATTTCTGCTGCGGCAGGCGAGGAGGCACAGGGCTGCAGCTTCCTCCCCTTGCATGCCCGGTGCAAACGAGGTTAAGTGCTTTTCTGCAGCGTTTCTGCCAATTAAGTCCTGCTGGAGACCTCAGCCCATGCCTGCTCTGGCAAAGGGTTGGCCCAGCTCTGGTGCTTGCACTGGTCTCCTGGCAGGGCTCAGCGCTCCAGGCTGGATGACTCCAAAGGCTGGAAACCCCCTTCTTCCCCAGCCCACAGCAGAGGGAGGCTGGTACAAGCAGGAGCAGGGCCAGGCCCTGATCCCCAGCCCTAGAGAGCTGGAGCTGACAGGTTGAACATGGCAGTGACTTTCAGCTCGCTTCAGCAAGTCCCCGACACTCCCCCCACCCTACTGCAGGGACCCACTGCTGCTCCCAGCCCTGATTCACATGCACAGAGTGTTAAAAGGGTAAAAACATGCCCAGTGCCCCCCTGCTGCAGTGGGGTGCAAGGGGAAAGGATGCTCCAGCCGGCACCTGGCTGCTTTGCATGGCACCATGCAGCAGGCAGAGCGCGATGCTCGCAGCGTGGCACAGCTCGTCCCACCACGCAGACACGCACAAGCTGGGTTTTTCGGCTGCAAGGAGAGACCAGCGTGGAGACACCACTGCAGAGGCTGGGTGGAGATGCAACACCCCTGCTGCACCGTGGGCTCTGAGCTGCCTGCAGGCTCCAGCCCAGCGGACAGTGCAACATCACTCTGCGGGCCAGCACCAGAGATGGGCCAAAACCACAGGAGACTTCACAGCATGGCAGAGGGAGCCCGGCCCGGAGGATGCGGAGGAGCAAGGGCAGCGCCGGGCAGGCGTCCGGCGTCTCCGCGGGGGCAGGCAGCTCCGGCTCAGAAGTTTTTGAGGCGACTGTAGAGCTCACGCTTGCTGCGCTCGCCCGCCCAGGTGCGGCTCTTGAGGCGGCACTTGCGCAGGTCCTCCTTGAAGTCCTCGTGGTGCATGGGCCGGTAGTCCTGGGGCTCGCAGTGCACCTGCAGGAGCCACAGCCTGTCAACCTTGTGCCCAGCCCGGGGGGCTCCTGGCCAGGCACAACCCACCCTGGGGCTTGCTGCTCTCCAGCTTCCCATGTGATGGGGTTGGGGTCCCTGTGCTGGGGTGAGCCAGCCACCCCAGGGTGTTTCCAGGCAGACAGCAGCCCCATCGCCTCCATGGGTGTCCACGTGCTGCAGGGACACAGCTTCTGAGTGCTCAGCCCCAGACCCTCGTTGGAGGGGAGACACCCCCAGTTTGAGGGCGGGAAACCTGTTTTCCTGCAGGTTGCCCTTCCTATCCCCCATGCCACATCCTTCCCAGTCTGACAGGGTCAAACAGGACCTGGTGCATGCCAGGGCCAGCTCACCTGGTACTGGGGGAAGAACTCGCGGTAGCCACCTTTCAGGACGTACAGCTCAGGGTAGTGCAGGTGGGGGTACTCGTTACAGGCACGGTCCTTCTCCCGGACAAAGCGGCACCTGCAGGACACAGCAACATGATGGGAAGAGCCACAGCAGGGACGTGGCAATCGAGCCAGGACCCAGCCGTGCTCTGGCATCAAGGCTCGATGCACACTGCAGCTGCACCCATCCCTGCTCAGTCCCTCCCAGGCTCCCAAACTCAGATACTGGGCACCGCAGAGCCTGGAGCCAGAGCTGTGGGCGATGCTACCAGCACCCAGGAACTAAATGGGGGTCCAGCAGACCACAGCATCTGCTTCCACCTTCCCCCAGCCTTAGCACCTAGACATGGGGATGATCCTACCAAGAAGGGATTTCAGACAATGTTTTTTGGACAAGCCACAGCCAGTGCAGGGAAGTGGCTCCCTCCAAAGCCATCCTGTGAAATGCCAGGTCTCCCCCAGCCTGCACAACCCAGTGGGGAGGAATGTCTTGCACACGAGACACTTACATCCTGGGACCCCTCTCGGAGGAAAATTCACAGTGGAATATCACTATCACCCTCTTCGCGGCGTCAAAGGGCACGATGGGCTTTTTGAGCAGGAAATCCTCCACATCCTGCTCCATCGGCAGGTTGACAGCCCCCTGCAGAGGGACAGAGAGCACCTTTGTCACATCAGCTCCCGTCTGTCTGGGGAACCTTGCTTCTCCACAGCCCTGCGCACCCCTGGGAAGGGCCTGCTGCTCCCCGGCCCCCTCCTGCCCGCTGGGACCCTGAGCGGCACCATCATGCTGCTGGTTCAGGAGGGTGCTCAGCATCTTCCAAAGCAGCCAGATGGTTTGATTTTGGTGTTTTTAGACTATGCCACTTAGCATGAGGTGTGCCCAGGTATGCAGAGACCCACCGTCCCACCCCAATCCCTGCCTGGGGCTCCCGCCACGCCACAGGGCTGGGCTGAGCTGAGAGCAGCGGCTCTGACCTTGATGTGGCCTCCCTCGTACTCGTAGGGGTATCGGCAGTCCACGATCACGCAGCTCTCGATGAGGCTGCTGAACTGCCCGTTCAGCACCGCCACCATCTGTGGAGGGAAGGAGCCCGTCACCCGGCGCCGAGGCTGGACGCGGGCACAGCGGCCCCTCGTGCCGGGGCTGCACCCTTACCATCTCCGGGGAGATGTACTTCAGGTCCTGGTGCTTCCCTTCCACCGTCTGCAGGAGGTACGCCTGGAAGAGACACGTCACGGCTCCGTCTCCCGGCGGTCGGCAGGGAGCAGGGCCGGGGGGACCCCTTGAGCAAGGGCCTTTGCCGGTTCCTGCTCCCCCAGGAGCTGCCGGGTCTGCTCCAGCCGGGCTGGGTTGGCCG